TGTCATATATGATTTTGGTCCACAGATCAAGTCTAAGAATGAATATGATCCACACGCGAATTGTTGATTCAAAACAATCTTTGTATCCATTTAAAACTAAAACAAGAAACACCGTACACAACTTGGCCTGATTTAATCACTCATTAATATTCGGGATAATGGAGCAAAAATTATGTCATGAGAAACCTTACATGGAACCGAATCTAAAGGATGGGGTGAATTGATTTGTATTTTGCAATAATTTCCTTTTCGCAGACATTATTATACTCAAATAATTTTTCATCAAAAAATACTACAGATTAGATCTCCTTATCATATAAAAGCTTATTTTTCATTAGATCCCTTATATAAAGAAAATAGATGTACGTAATCCAAATTTACTACATTTTTTTTTTTCATATGCCCAATGAGTCAGGGAGCGTTTCCTATTTGCGCAGCGCTTTGACGACCAAATGCGACATTTTGTCATATAAACACTTCATGAAAGCCCTTACCCGACGTGGAGTCAAAAAAAGTTGTTGTCCACGTGATCCAAATATTACACAGCTAATTTTTATGTGAAACTACTATTATGGAACAACAGACAAATTTTCACAGTGAAATATTGAAGCTCAGGTAATATAGTATAAAGGCTTACTTTAAGTGGGTCTCTAAGAACTGAAGCAACAATTTGCTACCCGCAGATTAAGTCCAAAATTTCATAAACAGACATCAGATGAACAGTTGGCGGGTTTATTATGAATTAATAAAAATCTCATACTTAAGATTAACTGTTAACCTTTACTAAATTTACTAAAATCAAAAGTGTTTTTTTATTTGATTTAAGCATCGATCTAAGTCGCCAAAGGAAAGATCTGTATATATGTTGTTAACGAAATTTTTAGTCGAATTGTTGTCCCAGGATAGAGTGGAAACTAAGGCAACCTCGACAAAAACCCCCGATTTCTTTACATTCTCGTCAAAAGTTATTATCCTTTGAAGATATTTCGGAAAACCCGCTACCCAAGGGTAGCAAGTCCACAATTAACGATAAAATTTTAATTCCAATTGTTTTTCAAGTATATCCTAATGTGCATCGATGGAAATAATTTTTAAATCGGTCGCAATCGTTTTTGAAGTGAACGTGAAGGTGATGCTAACGCACATTTAGGTCACATGTAATCGAAAACCTCTTTACGAGGTCGAAAGTTATAGATGCAAAAATAAAAGAAATTTCAAAATTTTCCCGAGGCTCTTTGAGTTTCTTTTATGCTAGGAGCATGGATATAAACCAAGTTTTATCCTTACATTTCTAATCAATGAAGGAATATGTTCTTTTTTCTTGCGATCATTCGAGAAAATGAGAGGAATCAAATGATCCCTTTTGATAGAAATGGGTGTACATTATCGGTACCCCAGCAACTAGAGTAGCTCTGAAAGGGGATAATTGTAGGTGTTGGAAGATCTTTTCATACGAGTTCACGTTACAAGACTTGTAGCCACTTTTTTTAAAGATCGAAAATTGAACAGAATCAAAATGACGTACTCAGTAGTTCCAGGGTTAATTAAAAAAAGTTGTTGCCGCTTATTTGCATTAAATTGCTTAGGGTCCAGCTCGACTTGTTCGCACTATTTGCTCTCAATACTTTTCCACGTATAGTATTTTATAAAATTTTCAAATTTTTTATTTATGTAGCAATAAATTACTTTATTAATTACTTCTTCATACGCAAAAATATTACTGCATCTGATCATTAAATAACAAGAATACACTAACAAAGAAATGAAATCCGAAAACTTCCGATAACCATCTGCTGCATTGAACAGGCATAGTTTTATGTTTACTTGCCTTACAGTTTTATATATTAAATAATAGCACTTGACCGATTATAGCATTTGCAATTACAATTTATGGTAATTTAAAAATAAATATAAATATTTTTAAAAATAACAGAGAGAAGTGTCGCAAAAATATTTTTATTGACGCCAACGCAACAGATAAGCTCCTAACCGTATTTATAAAAACGAAATCGATAAATCATTAGTTTATTTTGAAAGTGATCTAAGTCTGTTATCCATAAAAATAGAAAAAAATATCATGATTCTGTCATCAAAATTATATAATGATTTCATAAATCATTAAGATTAATTTTTCTCTTATCTCTACAAAGTTTTCAAAAATCTTTCTACTTTATTGCATTTGCCGTACAAATTGTATTGAGTTTGTGCGGATGTACGTAACGCTCGGAAGACACCAAGATGGACCCACCTTTTGTTGTACCGATTGATTCAGAGTCATCCTTTTGTCCATCTGACCCGTGCCCACGTATGAGCTGCTTCAACCTATAGGTCACAATTTCCGAGATATTTTGATAAAATTTGTTACAGTGAAATGGTCTGACTCAAGGACGAGCACTATTAAAAATAATTCGGATCAATGCACATGTTCGACCACTCCCCATATATCGACCTCTCAAAAATTGATATTTTGAAAATTTTTCGACAAAACTCGATGAGCAATTTTTTGAACACCTTCGCATATAACATCTTACTCATGGTGAGAATTGGTTCTTAATAGCGAAATCACAAGTTAACCATGTCGAATTTGGATCTACTTAGGTCTATTTTTTGAATACCACCGCATATACAGATTCTCACGAAATACGAATCTTTATATACCAAAAAGCCCTGATTGTTAATATGTTATGATGAAACTTTGTTCAATATAGTAATTAAGTAAATCAAATTTGAATCACGAGAGTCTACATCTTGCATTCCCCTCCATATCAGATTTCTCACGAATAGTAAGCACATCAGAAACAAGGTTAATACTTAACACTTTATAATGAGCATTAGTTCATAAGGGACATTAACATAGATTTTTGTTTTTGGATCCCAACGTATATAGGGGTTATCACGAAAAGCAAACCCTTGTAAGGGCAGAAAGTCTAAGATCCACAGTCAACAATTTAGAGAATTTTCAAAACGCAGAGAAAGTACTAATTGACTGAAAGGACTCTATATAACAATAGAAAAGGTATGTAGTTCATATTGCGGTGAACTCAGTTTGAGTTTGTAGGCCAAGTACTTATGTTCCTTAAACGAAGTACACTTTATCGGGACATTGAAGCAACAGTAACACTTCCTGCAAATAATTTAAGCAATATTACTCTGCATACGTTGAGAAGAAAACGCCTACTTCATAATTGAAATAAAGACAAGGCATTAAGCCCTGCTATCGTAAAAGTAGGTTTAAACGACGGACTTCTAATTCGATAGAAACTTTCAGAAGTTTTTTTGACCATAACCATTCAGTGTTGCCATATTCGTACTTTTGCAAAACTTCTTCGTCATAAAAGCTTCTTCTTGAATGCACTACAGTCCAGTCATCTTAGCAATAGATGGATTTGCTATTGAACGAAGTTACCATAACGATTGTGAAAGCTTTTTTTCAAAAATCAAAATGTTTATTTTAAGCTTTAATTGTTTATTGCCTTCAGATTAAGATCCAAGAGCAGCTAAGTCTCTTCATAAATTTTGTGTACTACTAACAAAAGACCAATAACTAATTCTTTCTCTTGCGTTTGGGAGGTCATCCCATTCCTTGCTTCAGCAGTCCACTGATGCTGCCTCTAAGTGCTAAGGTGAATTGATGCAGGATGAGAAAGAGAGAACAACTTTCGATTTAAATTCAATCGGTTCCTTGTTGATAACGAACCCGTTTGACGTTTCAACTAATAGACATTCGGGAAAAACATTGCATTTATGGTAACTCCCACAACTGCAAATGTAAATTTTTTTTGCAAAACAATATTCCTTTTTACTATTTTAACTAACATTTATTTTCTATAAGAATATCCTCTTGATAGTTTTTTCAACCACTATTTGAATGCATGAAAAGCTCCACACAATACAGTAAAGTCTGATTTTATGTAGACGACCTGAAAGAGATTACGTAGCGATGCATTTTAGGTTTTATCCCAAAAAAAAAGAACCATTTGTTTCTAACGATCATTATTAGAGTGAAAACCAAGTCCGAAAAGACAGTTAGTCAGCGATTGAAAACACCGTTAATCAAAAGCGGTAGTGGTCTCATAAATGAAGCGAGAAGTGTAGCACGTTCCAGTTCGATGCTGCTAACATTTCTTGAGCAAGTTTTCTCATATGCAGCTGAACGTGACCATACAGAAAAACAACGATATCTTGATTTATGAGGTATTGCGCCAAACTTACTGCCGGTAGCGGATGTCTGCAGACGGAGGCGATCTAAATCTATCGATCTACATCATGTTTACTTCGGCTTTAGATATTGCAATACATCTATTGCTCTTCCTGCTTCTTTTAAATGGCATTTCTTCGGACAGAAACCATGCGAAACCTCAGAAAACGTGCAGAGCTCTCGTGCAGAGCTCAGTATACCAACGCAAACTGTTGCGTTAAATATAAAAATAAGATGGCATTGTCAGGTGACGAGGCCGTAAGACCCAATAGTACCAGTTACGATAGTTCTTTGGAAGTAAAGAGAACAATTCCCGCAGTTGCAATATGCGTGATAATGAAAATGGCTCGAATGCATCTCCTACGATATTAGAGTAACTACAGACGTTCAAAAAAAATCAATGCCGAAGTTAATGTATTTTCCAAACTGCAAATCCTCGAATTTGTGTGTTGAGAATCCATTAAGCTTATTGTCAGGTTATGTGTTCATCTCGTGAAACGCGAACATCGCTTAAAATCGCACTCCACTGTGTATCGAAGTTTCTAATGTTGTTTAGTTCGTAGCTTAAAGAAAGTTTTATCGATAATAGCTTTTCTCTAATGAATTCAAAACAAAGGTGAATTTTTCAAAATTTGTTTTACATCATACAGAAAACATCATAGTTTTTTTAGAATTTTTTTTTTAAATTGTATAATTATTTTTTTTATTCAATAATAATCGAGTATTTTTTTACAATAAACGCGTTCTCTAAATTGAAAGTGTGTCGCAATTTAAATAAATAAATATAGAAAATAAAATTTTGGCGGAAGAAAAGAGTGCATACGTGAATGTGAAAACAATTCGCGCGTCAGTATGGAAGAATTAAAAGATACCAGCATACATAAAATGGCGTCGAAGCTGATAAACGCTATTAAGTCCTTAAATGATTACACGGACTTGTTTAAAAACGTGCAGGTGAACAGAAGAGAAGGCTTTGTTATAAATTAAAATTTCGGTTAATAAAAACTATTTTTAATTAGAAATTGGCGTGCAATCCAAATGTGGATAAAAATGATATGCGACAAAGTCTCGAGGAGGCCATACGTGAATCGGGCTTGGAGACGGAAATACGCAATTTAATATTTCAATTAATTCGTACTAATTTGAAAATAGATCGCGTATTCGATACGGAGCAAACACAACCTCAGGTACATACATTCAAAAATAATCAATTGAAATGATTACGTAATGATTTTTGCAAACTCCAGGTCGATCCTCTGGCTTACTTAAGACGTGCTGGAGCGCAATGGGATCGGAGAGTACGTAAAAGCCTTCATACCATGTGTGCCGAGTTGAAAGTATACGCGCAAGGGCAACCCAGAACCTCTTCGGATCGTGATGAACTACTTGCTAAATGGGACGAGTTAAGCAATTATGCTATAGGTAAAGGCAGACACAAACACACATCACGCTATAAATGAGGAGATAAAAATTTATACCAATTCAAATAATTCAAGATCTTGCCTGTTATCGTCCGGTATATGCGCCCAAGGATTTGTTAGACGTATTGCTGTCGATGAAAGGACCTCCCATTCCGGAAGAACAAGAAGACGACCTCGTGTAAGATATTTTGTACACCACACCACTTGTCATGTGTATAAGTATGCAAGGCTCAAAAGGATTTGGGGTAGACCCAGCTTTTATAATGCCGATCGATTCAGAATCATCTTCGGAATCGATGTAAGTCTGTCGATCCATCCGCCTGTCTCGAATTTTTGGGCATGGACACACACGCAAGGGACAAGGACGAGCGCTACTGAAAATTGTTCGAATAGGACCACTTAGGACCGCATCCCATATAACACCTTGTTTTGGGAAGTCATTAAATAAATAAATGTATTAAGCAAAGTAGTGTAAGGTATTTAATTGTCGGCCTTGACCCACTATAGTGCTTTTGCTTGTTTTAAATTTAAATTTGACTTTTTCGGTGGTCGCGGCATATTAGAAATCGCATACGCAAAGTTTTCAGTTATTTGCCCTCTTTATACCCATCTTTTAGAACCAAAATGCCATACAATTCTAATTTAAAGGAAAATTTAATAAGAAATAATTCACTCAGTCAAAATTTTAAGGAGAAGACTGACAAACATCATTCAGTTCAACTTAGTGCTCTGCATTCTTATGGAGGAAAATATCTTTCTTCACTTTTTCTAATTCCTTTCTAGCAAAGAAGGGTACACGGTTTAATGAAATCTCTAAATTATTCGAATTCATACCTCATTGCAATAACTATTGCTTCCGTGGCCATCGTTAGTTTTCTTAATAATATTCAACAATCAGTTTACCTTCCCATTCGTATCTTTCAGTACGTATACTTATTTGATCGTTCCCTTATCTGAGTGATCAGAGCGAGGTTGAATTGCAGCCAATTGGCGGAACTGGAATTATTAAAACATGAACTTTTTTGTGATAAAATTGTCGGCTTTCACAAGTTAAAAGTCTATGGCTACCCACTATAAAACGACGAGGGGTAATACATTCATCTCGGTACGGATGTAAATATGAAACCGGAATTTTGTCTAAAAAATCATAAAAAGTATTACATGAAAATGGTAGAAAGAATTTCATTAGGAGTATTACCCATCGCTAGGTATATATATGTGTCAAATCTATAAGATAATTTGCGTAAGCCGTGGCTTAAGAAAAATGGCGAACTATTTCGCGCGCCATCTAAACTTCAGACTGATGTTCGCAGTTCCCTTAAATGTTACGGTCCATATAAAAGATGCTCCTATATTACAGTAATCATCACCGCCTGAATACTATTTGCTGCTGGCCAGTACAAAAAAATTTCGTCCAAGCCGCATAGAACTTAACTATTACTTTTTCTTTTGTTGGCAGACAAATACCGAAATGGGAATTCTCTCACATACCTTTAAAGGTTAAAAAACTATGTGACTTGGTAAGTGTACAATAATAAGTTAACCTTTTATTTTAAAACGAAATACAAAACAATAAATGCAGGGAACCCACTACAATGATTTGCTGCGGGAAGAATCTTACTATTCTGTGTGGGATCTAAATATACAATGTGAACGTGTCTTGGCCATGAAACATGCGACTCTCTGTCAGCATATTCTAAAAAAGGGTAATATACCAGCTACCTACAGGGGCGCAATGTGGTCCTATGTGCTCGGTAGTCACATAACTGATTTTGTAAGTTACAGCTATGGTTTTTTTTTTTTTTGTTTTGTTCTTACGTTCATTTCATAATAGGACGTTGATTATTGGAATAAATTAAAGGGCAATGTTTTGAGTACCGATCATATCGTGGATAAACTAGTTTTTAAGGACATACAACTAACCGCCTCTAATGACGATCAATATTTTGTCTTCGAAGATGTTTTGTATCAGATAATGTTATGTTTTTCACGTGACACGCAAATTGGTGAAATGGTCTTAGGCGAAAATTATCATCAGAAACCGAAAACCTATGAAGCTCCGCCGTCCGGAGTAGTCCCATTTCATGGAATTTGCATGTTTGGTAAGTAAATGAAATTATTTTTATTTAGAAATTTTAAATATCGCAAACGATTGACTTTTAGCGGCGCCATTTTGTTACTTGTTCGACTCACCTATACATCTGTACTATTCATTTCGTGCCTTCTATGTCCGCTATTGTCATCGTCTAACAACTATTAACACACATCCGCAAGTGAGCCTATTATTAGATATGATATAAATATTTGGAAAAATCGTATTCGTTTATTGTTTAGGGTATTGTCAGCATTTGTTTGCTATTTGAGAAACTCTTACAAAGTCACGAGCCTAAGCTATGGTCGCATTTCAGGGAATTGCAGATACACCCGTAAGTAAAAAATTTTCTTGCAGTTTCTTAGCCTTACAGACAATACAAGTTCCGCCAAACGATTGTCACGTTAACCTCTACCGAAAAAATAAAGGTTGAAATATGCTTCCTCTTGTATTCTGTCACACACTCACCCACCTATCACTGAAAGACAAGACTAAGGAAGTTTCATTGCTTACTCTATATTATTCCAACAAACCTATCAGAGCAAATACATTCTCAAGCAAGTAAAAATAATATGGTCGGAAAAAGACGACCATTGAATACTCTACAGCATTGTGAACCTATCCACGCTTGTCTATTCGTCCGTTCGTCTTGTTTTCTTTCGTTTTTACCTGCGAACTTTGTGTTTAACGCTACAGGCCGCAATTTTTGAGATATTTTGGCAAAAATCGACTTATGGTTCAAGGACGAACGCCATTAAAAATGGTCAGGATCGGAATCCTTTTTCTATCACTTTCCTTATAATGTTTTACTTCAAAAAGTCATTATATGAATAATTGTCGGATGGTGTAGTGTATTTCAGTGTATTCAGTGCCACTATAGCGGCCCATGACCTATAGTAAGTAAGGCATAATATAGGGATGGTCATAAGAAGTATCCGATTTAACTGCTTACGTTTCTGGCGCAAAATAGGTACGTGCGGTAAATCTTCCCAAAGATATCTCAAACGCAAAATACACAGTTCAAATCTGAAATTTTTATTCGTTACATTCCGGCCTGAGATGACATTTAGCATTAAATTTAGTGGACCAATTGCTTGAGAATTTCATTCATTGAACTAATACTTGTAATAGAAGCCGCAATGGGTATTTGAATGATTTTATATTCACAACTTTACACACAATTGTGTCGAGCACATTTCAAAACAACAAATGGTTTTCTTCCTCCTCAGTTCATTTACTGTTAGTTGTTGACAAGAAATGGTACGATTCTTATTGAAAGTCTCCACATGTTACTCTTACTTACTTAACCTTTTTACAAAAATTTTTTTGTAAAGGAGGAACCTTAGGTTTAATCTTTAACCGAAACACCTCCGTAGAATTCTCGGATTTTGTTTTAAAATGTACAGATAAGACTAAGTGTACTTACTTTGCTTTCTTACTTCTCGCCTGGACATAAAAAAAAAAACATACGTTTATTGAAAAATAATTATATATATGACAACAGAAATGTTGCTCGTTTCAGAATAAACCTAAGAATGGATGAAAAATTTGATATTCTCCCTTTTTATTCACACACTTTCATCTAAGTCAGCTGATCAAAAATGATATGAAATGACATAAAATAGTTTTCAATTCATTCGATAATCATTTTTATTAATTTAGGATACGTGTGGTATTCAAATGGTTAATGCGAGCTTTTAGTGGTCACCTGCCACCCGATCAGTTGCTGGTGCTATGGGATCTAGTAAAAGATTATTATTTAGAAAACAAACAATTTGTGTTAATCATTAATTTGAGATTTTTTATTTCAGATTCTCGGCTTTGATAGTTTGGAGATACTTTCGCTTTTTGCCATCATCATCTTAAGCTTCCGTAAAGAAAGTATTCTGCAAGTAGTTACTTTGGAAAATATTGATGCAATTTTGGCCGATCTATCATCCATAAAAGTTATACCCCTTATCAAATTGGCTTTGAGTAGAGATTAAGTATGGATTTCTACATTGGTAGAATGTTGTAATAGAAAAATTTATTTAAAACATTTGGAAAAAAATCGGCTACAGGAATAAACTTGCCTTGTCTTTTTCTCAATTAAAAACTTTTCACAAGTGCTTTATAAATTATTGGAAAACCAATAACATAGGCAAAGTGCTATAGGAACGTTATCAACTCGTTCAAATGGAATAAGCGCAAAAGGATATGAGTGAATAGTTGCCATCAGTCAAATAGAAATTAAAATTACACATAGTGTACTTACTCCTCCATGTTGGTCAAGAATTAGGATTTTCGAATCAAAAAATCACTTCGTGTTACAGTTCAAGTTTTTCAATTAACACAACATTACTGTTCCCTGTTTTTGATACGCAAAGGTAATCGCACGAACTACGCTGACGATAACATAACATGTTGTGCAATCAGCAAAGGTGAAATTTTCAATACATAGACACACATATATACACACTTATGCTAATATTCTTTTTCTCGTTCCGCCGACAACGCAAGATGATAGATCAGTCGGATTTTCCATATAGCCAAATTGGTGACAATTAGCGACGGATCACGTTTTTCTGAACAAATCCCTTCATACTGTTGTTAGAACAAAGGTCTGGGAATGGTGAGTGGGTATGATAACCGAAGCGTGTTGAATCTGGCGAACGCCACGACATTGAGAATTCATTTTTTCTTAACAATGGGCAGCACACGGGATTAGAACGCGAATTGTAATAAACTAAGAAATAAAAATAAGTTTAGCCAAATGGTTCTTGTTTTCTTCTATTTAAGCTTCCCTTTAAGCGAAAAAATAGGTCAAATAAGTTTAAAAAAAATTTTAAAAATCCTGCACATTGAAATTTTAAGCGACACAATTTATTTATTTGCTAAGTTGTGCAAGAGAAAAACATGCCTACAAGTAAAAACTGCTTTCTCCCATTAAAAAATGTGCGAGGTTTGAGTAACCCTTTCCGCAAATGTAGCGCCAGACAATTGACACCAAGACCAGTATAAAAAATCATTTTTTTTGGTAACTCGATCAGTGTCAAGATTGGAAAGGAAAAAACCAGTGTTTACGAAAGCCTGCATTAGGATATAAAGCCTGTTCTCCTTTACATTTTTCGCAACCAACTTGTAGATAATGAATAAATTCTCGGGAAAAATTTGTGAAAAAGATTTGATTTACCAAAAGAAGGGCTATTACTATACAAGGATCAAAAAGATGTATACAAGTTGTTGTTACGTGTTTTCCAAGCCTGTCCCTCTCTGCTTGTTGTCTGTCACCAAAGGGATCCCTGCGCTTTAGAAAATTGTCATGGAATGAGACAAGTAGCAACACTACAGTGTGGCAGGTTTAGAGGTGAACACCCTCGGCTTATTAATCGACTTTTCAAAATAAGGCCTTACATACGATCCGAATCATTTTTAATAGTGTTTGTCTTTGAATCAACACATGTCGGTGCATTAAAATATCTTGCAACCGGCAGCCTGTAGGTTGAACACAAAAAAACCAGATTGGCAGAAGCACAGACATTGTTAGACCGATTCAGAGAATTACTCTGTAGTAAGCGCAGGGCCTATCTCAAATCCTTTTGGATCTTGCATACATTCGTACAAATTTGATTTGCCCTTGTACCACATGTGATGTATGGAGTAGGGAGCGAAATATTTTATCGAACATATTTTATCGAAACGATACGAAAAAATGAATTAATATATGTATTTTATGAAAGTTTTTTTATTCATAAGTGTTGTATATGTGCTCCTATATTTATACTTATAACCATAAATACACATTTGTTGTTAATTTTTTAGCCTGATTAAATATTTTAAATGAAAATTTAGAACAACAACAATTTAAAATTTTTTAACATTTTTCTCTTTTTCTTTTTTGTTTAATTCTATTCATATTTTGTAAATGTATTTTAAAATTTGAAATTCAATATGTTTTGATTTTATTTAATATTAAATGTTTTTATGCTTCAGTTTAGAAAGAGAAGTTAAAGATTTTCTCTCAAAAATATTCATAAATAGTTAAAGTTTCTGTTACTGTGTGTATATCTATATGGATTTAATACAGATTTGATTTGATGATTTGATATAAGAAAGAATTTTCACATATTTTTTTATAAAATATTTAAAAACTAACTACTGAGTGTACACGTAGCTATATGTATACGAAGAACATTTTCTTTTTTCATTTCGTTTTTATTTTTTATCCTTTTTATTTTATAAATACATCATTTACACATTTTAAAGCGGTTTTAGATATAACTTTACACAAAGTTTTAATGTTTTTAATGTTTACTTTATATATAACTAAATGTAATTTTATTTTTATAATTAAATGACTTTTGATTTCAGTTTTAATAAGAGATATTAGAAGATAATAAAATTCGTTTTAATTAATGATAAAAATATTAAAAGCCTGATTTTATTTCGGATGAACTCACAATAGAGTGTAGTTGTTATGATTATTTCTTATTCAATATTATGTGGTTTCCTATTTTTTTCCCCCATATCAATCATAATAGAGAAATGATAGGTTTTCGGAATCTGTCATAACGTCCAAACGGTTAACTGTAAGCGATGCAAAAGGTCGGGCTTGGTTGGCAGATCCCGGGTCGACTTGCTCTACGTACACATACAGAAAGTGCATAGGCATAAATGGCAAACCATGCATAAAGCAATTATCGTTAATAATAACTTCCCTACTTCATAAGAACGAACCATGAATTCTAAATACTTCGACAAAACAACGTAGTTTAAACATCCAATTAACCTAACCAGGAAGACGGACGAACCACTTGAAAGATTGCATCCACAAAAAGGTTGAAACAAGAAGATGATTTTCAAATTGGTGCAGTAATGATAATATTCAATAGTTTGTCATTTTATGATTTGGCCATGATCATACAATCGTTAGTCGTTAATTGTCTTCCGGAAGTCTAAACTTCCAATTTCGGATAGCGTTGACTACCCCTATAGTTTGCTTTTTGAACACAGTTTTTCGATTAACGACGGTCGATTTAACTTAGGCTACAGGCGTAAAAATGCTATTGATGAACTTTGCAATCATTGAAGGAACAAAGATTTGCAACTGCAATCCGGAATTGTGATAACAGACCGCAGTCAGGAGCTTGGAAGCATCTTTAAAGCATCCGCACTTATTCAAATATTTAAAAAAATTTCCTAATCTTCAAATACTGTATAAAATTCAGGTGGAGCATAAGTTAGCAATAAAATTTCTTCAATATAATTACTACCTTCTTTTCCCTTTGCATATTTCACGCAGACAAAATTTTAAAAATTTGTTAAACAGGTGCTTATCTCTCCTGTTTGATGTTTGCAAGGGAATGAGAGCCATCCGCAACACACCGATAAGAGCCATCAAGAAGCCTCGGCAGATGTCAATTTGAAATTTAACAGGAATACACTAAATAAAATAAGACACATTAGGGTAAGGTAAGGGAATCATTTATACTCATTATATGGTCGCTTCACGAGTTGAAAACTCCATCTTATGCATTTCAAGTAATTTGTGTTAACTATGTTACTCTTCAATCTTCTCGAATTTGTTAAACGTGTAAAGGTAACGATGAGTGAAACGTCCCGTCACATCCTGTGCGAATGCGACCATGTGCAAAGTCGGACGCCCGGTGTGTGGCAACACGTCGTAACGGCCGAGACAGTGTGATGCTTCGACTCAAAGTACACCCGTGTGCGTGTACAATAGATCTCTCAGCTCGCGCTACGAATTGACCACACAACAATACAATGTATAAATGCGTTTGTCATGCCTGTGTATGAACTGCCAATACGAACCACTTAATGTTTCTGAATGAAACATCAATTCCTGTATTTTCAAAAGAAATCATTTCAAGAATCATTTCTCTTACACTGTTAACAATGTATTATGTTACAATGAACTTTCACGCCTCTCTGTTTGCATTAAAAAAGTAATAAAATTAATCAACTGGTGAATATCAAAAGATTCGATCCAGCTCAGATATAAGATTCTTCCCCTCTTTATGTTTCTAATAAATTTTACTTATCTCAAAAATTTGTTTGTTTTTATATTTATCTTAAGATCTTCTTAAATCAACTTTTCCATGATATGAATATATTTTGTAATGTTGTAGCGTAATTTATGGCCTGACAAAGTAGAATTTTGTTCTAAGTTTTTTTTTTCTATTTTTTAAATTTGAACTTTAAATTTCGTAACAGAAATACCATTTAACTTATATATAAAATCTCTTCAGTCTTGTTAAGAAAAAAAAAAAAAAAAAAAAAAAATCAATGAATCTACAGTGCCACAATGTAGAAACTTTTTTCTTTGTTTGTACATAAATTGTAATATATTCCTGAAAAATATGAATTTAAAATATTATTTGCAAGCTCGTTATTGAGTGTAAATAAAACTTTATTAATCTAAATGATGTGTATATAATCATTACAAAGGGACGCTACTTTTTCATTTACTTCACTCAACCAATATTATGTCACTACTGTTCTTTATGGTGAAATCGTGAGAAATCGAACATTTTAACAAATATTTTTTACAAAAATTTGCAAATATTGCAAAAAACTATTATTACAATTTCGTCGTATATGAAGTAACTTCACGTGAGATAGTGTTAACTTATCCTAGTGACGAACGTATGGACTTCGCAGTGTTCTTTTAACTAAACACTGATGAATCGAAAAATTATTGCGACGGTGCATAAAGTTCTGACCAGAATCTATTGACTAACTGCCCTTTCTAGGGGCAGGGTGATCGGTTTGCGTCTTTGTTTTCTAATAAATTAACAGTTATGGTTTCTCTGGTAAAGCGCATAGCCTCACAAAGAATCATATAAAACTTAAAGTCAACAACGGGAACTCTTAAAGAAGGACGCTGTAGAGATTATGCCTTGTAAATAAAAGGTTGGCTCAAGAAGCCTTTATATACCCAAAGAAAAAAAGAGAAAAAATGATGAATTGATGAAAACTAGTAATAGTAGGTATACACGGAAGGTGATTACAGTGATTTCGATCATTTTCATAATTTCAACTGAAACTAAGCATGGAATCTTCATTTCATCCTATACTACTATGTCCAAAAAGTAAGACCATTTTAATTTTCTGCGTTTTTAAATCTCTTATTCCAAGTCTACTCCATTGCCTTCAAAGGCGATGAATCCTGAAACTCAAAAACTTGTAATTTCAGCAAAGTTAGAATCGAATCCCATTGACCAGACGTAGTTTACTTCTCCCTTTTTTTTTTTTTTTTTTGGATAAATTAGAGGTCGAGAATGCAGCATAGCCACATTTCGCTCGTCTGCACACAAAAGTAAGGGAAAAATGTCGCCCGTTGTGATCAATAAAAAAAAGGAAAATTATAAAAAAAAACGTAACAGTACCCAGAAGCTTAAATTGTTTGTACCAAAATGTTCCTTCACCTTATATTATTCGCTTCATTTTTAAGTAGAAACAACGATCGAATGCTTATATTAAGTCCACCGGAAAATTCTGTCAATAAGTATGCACATGCTCGTTTGAGGCATATTTGTCTCCATCTTCCCGTCGCTGAATGTATATATAAGGTGCTAGCACACGAACTAAAACGAAAATGATTCATGTTAGCAATAAGTGGGACGCGAGCGAGGTAACCATGGCTGCTAATAAAGTGTATTTACGCCACTGCATTTTGTACGAATTCCAACAAGTAAGAAATGCTGCCGAGGCGTGAAAGTCTTTGGCGAAGGTACGGTTTCTGATAAGCATTCAGAAGATGGTTCGAAAAATTTCAAATAAGTTATTTTGACGTTTTTGGTAAGCCTCTCTGATCGACGACAATAATGTCAAAATCGTGTCAGAGTATCACGCTACCAGAAAGACTCAATTCAGCTCAAGAAATCAATGCAGACCATACTCGGAAACTGGGATTTTGTTTTATTATAAAAACGAGTCGAGCTTTCCGGTGGACCTATTATTGATTCACGATTTAAGTGCAAGTCGAACGGATGTGTTTTCAAGAGAAATAATGGCGCGATATTATCCACCAAATCATCGTCAGGGATAGCTATAATTTCAATACAATCTCTCCTCGATCTGGCTGAATTTGATTCAAATCGACAATTGATTGGTATCTAAATAAACTTTTACAGTATATTGCCTTCTTATAACATAAATATGATTAATTAAAAATATAATTATTAGGAAGATAAGTTACTAAGGACAAGTTTTAAGAAAATATATATATATATGTATATATGTTTGTAGCAAAAATCAAATAAAAAAAAATAAAAATAAATGAAAAATGATGAATAGCTTTTTTAAATTATTTACAATATATGGAATATTTTATATGGATTTAATACATGGTAGTGTGTAGTAGTTATGGTAGTACAAAAACGAGGTCGATTATGGATTGTTATTTTCTCCGCAGCATTGTATGCAATCCATGCAGTTGTGCTACCTGTTGTTGCCTTCAGTTTTCTTTGTCACATTCAAAGTAGTCTCTTGGAGCTAAATATTAAATAAAATAAAATAAAAAACTTTTTTTATAATTATCGCTAATACACTTAAACTATCATCAAACAATTGATTAGTGAGTGATTAGCGAGAAAAGCGTGTTGAAGGACTTTCGATAAACGACGTTGTATTGATCAAAAATAAATTGCGGTGCGTGAGAAAATGTTAATAATAAAAAATTCCAAAGTCTGTGATTGATGTGTGTAGTATCAGCAAAAAGTGATTTTAAAAATTTGCATTTTTTTTTTTTTATTATTAAAAAGGAAAAGCAAGGCCTCGAACCTTTAGTCCCGTGTTGTGTGTTAACTTCAGACTTTATAGTGTGTAAATGAAAACAGAAATAATAAAATTTAGTTGATATTGTAAAAAACGGTAGAGAGGGAAATATATCAAATTAAAACAAGAAGATCAGTGTAGCAAAGTAAAAATTTTGTTTTTTTTTTTTTTTTTTTTGATAGTAAAATATTGAAAAAAAGAAAAAACACATATACATTCTCTTTAAGCTTTTAAAAAAAGCAATTATTCGTAAACTTTCTACAAACCTTTAAGGAACGTATGTTGTCTACCAAAGCTTTGTTCTCTTCCACCAACATGTTTATCTCATCTTGAGCTGCTTTTAAATAGGAACGTAAAGTATCAGATTCTTGCTTAGTTTTTTGCCTGGAAAAGAAAAACAATATATATCAAATAAAAATTAATAAGTATTATATTCGCTTTAGACCGAATACCTCAATTCTATACCCAACACTTGTTCGATTACCTTTTAATATCCTGTGCAAGGTATATTAAGTCTGTGTAGATGTATACAACATTCAGAAGAACTTGAGACGGACCCATCTTTTATTGTATGGATCGATTCAGAATAACTTTTTGGATCATTACAAGGTTGTCCCCCGTTTGTCCGCTTTGTATTCTCGTACTCAATCTTCAGGTCGCATATTTTTCAGATATTTTGAAGAAATTTAGTTCACCGAAGTGTTTTTGTCCCAAGGACGAACTTTATTGCAATTGTTTCGGATCGGACCACTTTTGCGACCACTTCCCATGTGATGTTATATTTTGAGGAGTCCTTATACGAAAATCCGTATTAAGCGAAGTCGCTTAGAGTATACAGTGGTAGTGTTTAAAGTGTAGAAATGTTTGAAAGGGCAGCAAGAGGAACATGCTAGGGATGTGTGGTTTGCAGGGTTACCAATTTTACGGATATTTAAAGATCAAGGGTGAGGACAAGTTTCTTATTTGTTGTATGAAGCTGCTCCTATTAGTTCCCGTTTTTAGCACAAAGGTTTGTGGGCGTAGCTTTAACAGACGAAGACTTCTCGCTTTAGTAAATGTTTAAAAGAAAAATTCGAAACCCGTTATTGCTTTAGTCAAATTAAATTGTTTACGACACTTGTTTATTACACTCATGATTACAATTATTAAATCGACGGATATGACTAAATTTATATTTCTACCCATGCCATTGGACAATACATACTTGCGTAGACTTTCTGTGATACTGAGCGTGCGAAGTTCTAAAGTGAGAATACTTGCTTCATTGTAGAAATGTTAGCGTCATGCCACATTACGGAACTATTATATTGTATTGTATTGAAACTATTGATACGCGTCATTTTGTGCAAATGCACTATTTCGTTGGATGATTATCTGTCATCTCGTAACACGTATGATAAGTTGGTGAAGTCTAATTCGAGTTATAGGGAAGGCGTCTATGAAAAAAGTTTGTTCCATTAAGTATAGACGTAATAGATGGACCGTTGAAACAATATGAGAGTAGTTAAAAGCCAGCTCTTTTTCTCGGCAAATTTTTACTTTTCTTTTGCAATCAGATATAGTGAATTTTCAGCGAAGGTTTTTCGCTCAATCGTGTTATCAACCGCTATGGGAATGGAGTGATTTCGCAAAGTTTCAGATAGAAATTGGACAGAGTAAGTCAATCCCAGAAACTAAACAGGAGCACTTTACCTGCAAGCAGCGTTCAATTAGCTTACATACATAAAAATACATTTCGTCATGATCTGCTCCTATGAATACGAATGCCTGCTTGAATATTATGGCGTGACCCTGGTAAAACCCTGGTCTCTAAAAATACGTAGGATGGCTTGTTTTCTAACTGGTTACTCAGCTTAGTAAAGCTTTGGACAAAATCACGACGGGCCCACATACTTTTACTTAAAGGAAGTTGATCAAGTTTGTGGATAGAGAGCGCACTTCAATATTTCATGACGAAATTTCTCCAAAAGTCTCTGCAATATGATGTGCGACTTCGGTTGCTGACTTTCACATGCATTGTCATTAACGACCTAAAAGCTATCTCATAAAAACATAAAGAGCAATTTCTTTATGCTGTCATATGATGGGTATAAAACTGGCTGTATATTTTAGTGGAATTACCGATAATTCTCGGAATTGTCTTTGGCATTTTGTAACTGCTTGCGTAAATTATCATTTTCCAACTTAATTTGTTGCATAATCAATTGTAGGGACAAGAGTTCACGATCCCGTTCACGTTCTCGTTGTATGGTATCCGGCTGTTTAAAAAGCGCCGCCGTTAAAGGATAGCTCGAAGCAGCCATTTCATTCAAATTTGTTTCTGTATACAAAAAGAAGGTTGCATTAATGTAAACAATAAAAGTGCATATTAGTCTTTAGGTCATTTCAATATCCACTGCTTAAAAGCAGTCGGTTTTTTTTTTATTTATTTATAACATAATCATAATCATGTGCGCAGACCATTTTCATACCATTCGTATAAACATTCATATGAAATTTTGAAATTTTTGCAAGATGAAGCGTTTGTTTCCGAGATATACATTCATTTAAGTGAATCACATAAATTGTATAAGAGCATATTGAATGTTTCTGCACTGACTCAGAAATTCCGTTAAAATGTTTGTATATGTATCTTCTAATTACTTAACTGATTCCTCTTTGGATGCAAAATTTGTCAGGGTAACTTTCTACCAATTGTCGAAGGATGAAGGTATACTTCTTTTGTCAAGACGTTTGCAGCGACGAAAAGAAAACCGCAATCTATGCTTTCGATGCAATCTTCGTATTATTACTCAACATTAAACTGTTCATTGATCTAAGCATGTCCGTCCGTCCTTATGAGTGTCTGCTTACGGTTACAAAGATTAAAATGTTGGTATCATATTTGGCAAAGGCGTCAGAAATTTTCAAGTCGTTGGTAGGTTAAAGTAGATTGATATTGAAAACTGACTAACTTGTATCGAATTTTCATTGTTTCTCATTTTTTTTAAATAATTCTTTCTTCTAACAAATTGTCCCCATTTTTCTTCGTATCTCGCTAACAGGCAGCCTTAAATCAATCTATAATCTATCATGTTTCAAAAATATATACATTTAGTCGAATCTCGGATGTGAATTGAAAACGAAGCAAACAATTTCTCATCGTCTGGTAACAATCAAAAATTTTATATTGAAATCATTTTGATACTATGATATTAAATACCTATTGGCTGTATATGTAAAATGCCGTTCTTGTCACGTTTGACATGCATGCGACCTATGGCTAAATTAAGAGGTACTGGACCTGGTGAGGTAATATTAACTGGTGGACGATCTTCAATTAAGTTGATGCGTACATTTTCTAATGTTATCTAAATAAAATGAAAAATTTTTTAAAAATATAATGGAAAGAATTTGCGATTTCCACGCTTTTTACGTACATTTAAAGGCAAAATGTTCGAGGCAATGATTTCATCTTCCGCTAAATCAGCCAAACCAATAATTGTACTCATATTAACAATTAAACATACATCGTTAATTCGCATATCAGCATTTTGCGTTAGCCAGCTATAACAAAAAAAAATATCAACTTATATATATACGTATGGGTAGATATATATGTATATGAGTATCTGAATGATATACCTATACATACGCATATATATATATATATAGGTATATCAATGTATAAATGGATACGTATATGTACATCTTTATGAATATAAATACATAGATATATAAATATATTTATTATGTGCATAAGTATATATATATATATGTACATGTGTGTGTATGTATGTATGTCTATATTCGTTGTTTTTTCTAATGGACGTAGTGGCAGCACACGGGCATCTAGTGCTTCTACGATAGTCGTGCAGAACCATCCTGCATACCCCGTCCTCGAATAAGACAAAGGGTGCTGACGCCGTCTTCGCTTGATTTTATTCAGTACTTTGTCACACAGCGTAATTGCCACGACAAACAGTTCCTTCCTAACTTTCGGTATCTCTTATCATAATTGCTAGTAGATTGCACGGTGCAATTTCAAACACTGTGCTGCGCGCGATCGCTCATGCTTTGGCACAGGTCGCATGCGTTACCCGCTTGTAGGTTGAAGCGGCGGGTATAACTCGGGTAATCTTCGTGACCAGTCAAAGCTTACGTTAGGAAAAAATTGACTCCTTCGTGTTTTCTCCTCATCCATTGTTCAAGATTTATGATGAGGCTGTAAGTCCACCCTATTTTTATGTCATTTTCCCATCGTTGTTGCCATTCCAGTAACATATTCTGTCAGCTATTCGGCAGAATAATTTTGCGGACGCCGGTGTAAACTTCTTCCAATGTTCTTGTTTCCTTCTTTGCGTTTTAGATATAGAGTTGCTCCTTAAGCAGCTGCTCGATGCTTGCCGGGTTTGCTGCATTTGAAGTTCAGACCGCGCGGTAGGCTATTATAACCCTCGGCATATACAGCCTTTGAACCGCTTCTGACTTTCGTATGGGGTATTTACCTTGCAAACATCACTTGCACGTGGGGTCAGGCGCATATAGGTTTACGCCTGACCTGTTTTGGTGCGGTTTAGCATAATTTTGCACAGAATGATTGCGGTTGCCACGACTTCATCCGTAACGCTCTTAATCCGTTCCGCAAATGCTAATTTCGTATCTAATTGCACTCCAAGATATCCAAGATATCTGAAATCGATGTTGTTCCTACCATCTCAACTCCTTTTGGCTCGTCGAATACTCTTCTATCCGTCCCCAGCATGGCTTCACTTGTTCCTTCGGCAAGTTTTAGTTTGGACTTTTGTAACCAGCTACTTATTCGGCTTAGGTTATCGTTCGTTACGATTTCTATTAGCGAAGTCGACGTTTGCTGTATAACCAGGGCGACGTCATCCGCATTACCTATCAGTTTCGGCCCTTTAGGAAGCCCCGTGTTGAGCAAACTGTTATACTTGAGGTTCCACAGGAGGGGACTTATGATGGAGCCTTGTCGTATACCTTCTGTTCTCTTGTGTTCACGAATGCCGCCGTTTATACTATACAGCAAACTTGTATGTGAGTGTATGCATGCATGTATGTATGTAAATATACATATATGTATATGAAAACGTATATACGTATGTGGTCATTATGCAAATTATGTAATATATGTATATATATATATAACCTTTCGATGCTTTTCTTATCTATTACGTGACCGTTATTCTCTTTCGGTGGCGGCTTTAAAGTCTCTTCTAGTCGTAGACGTAAACATGGTGGTGCTTCTGGATTATACGGAGCCAAATTCCACGCTTTACAGCGTGCACCGAACTTTGTCTAAAATTATAGACCATTAGAGTAAACTATAAATAAAACATATCGCAAATCATTCATAACAACATTAAAAATAATCACAATATTAAAAGCGTGTTAAGCAATAAAAAAACACTAAAAAATGATTTCATATCAGCTCTCTATATATATGTATGCGGCATTAGCTAAATAAACATTCCGTAAATTTTACACATATGTTTGTTTATCTATTTGTATTTGTAAGCGTATACAAGATCAAATATCAAAAAAGCATAAAGTGGTAAATGATGATATCAAACTAGACTTTTTGTTAACCAAACCAATTGTATTTAGTGTCTGTGTGAGTGTTCCTTTTAAATCCAATCGAATAATCTGTTCGTACAGTAATAAATATGTGTACCCGGAAACAATCGCTTTACAAGAAAGGTGGCTAATAGTTTGTGGTGTATAAACAAAATTTTCAAAATCCAATTTTCATAGAGGAGGAAAGATATAAAAATAGGAATAGAAGAAGAAACAAATTAATCTAAAATAAAACTATAATTAACGTGAAAATTTAATAGAAAAGTGAAAAGCAACTCATTGTCTAAAAATTAAAAATTGCTTACATGAAACAATCTCATCAAAAAACTAATTTACGTCAGTGGTCCATACCTCGTGATTTCTTGAGTAAAAAATTTAATTAAGTTCTTCTTCTTCTTTTTTTTTTTTTTTTTACTTGCGGTATTCATCACCTTCAATGCGGCATTGTAACATTTCATTTACAGCTTTTTCAATTTATTGAGAAAACCAATTTATATAAAACACATTTTGCCTAAAGCGTGCTTCAACGGATGCGGCAATTAATAATTCCAATTTTTCGCTTAACGCTTTCCTAGCGTAACAAAGCGTTACAAGCAGAAAAGTACGTGTGCACCATTGCTGGGCACCCTGTGTACGTTTTATAACACACAAAATCCCCGCCCCCATTGAAATATGAACATTTTGTTTCTTCTCATCAATCTATACGTATACATTCACATAGATCGCTGACCTCTGGCGAAATTTTGGGCACTATTTTACTGCGGAAATATTAATGTCCAAACTATCTCTTTCAGTAAACGACCAAGACGAAGAAATGGACATTAGGGTAGTAAAAAAGGTCAATGAGAACTGCGGAAAAAGCATTAATTTAATTAGAAATCGTTCCCGTTAGGAAATGGGTGGTAACAAAATCTATTCCTTACCGCATTTTCCAACACGAATGGGACATTTCTCTGTTATGATCCCACTATTTCCGTATTCTTCAGATATAGTCTCTTGTGACGAACTCTATTTACTAAATCTAAAAGTGGGTCGAAATAAGAAGATTTTCAGTAAATACGACAAACTCTATGTACCGGGACTATCTCAACATTAAATAACAAAAAAGACGTTCCACTTGCACTTCTGAAAACGGATGCTGCGTTGTCAAAAATGTTCGTTGCTCGTGCTAAAAGTTCATAGAGAATGGAGAAATCATGATAACGAAGAAAAAGGTGTCAATAATACTATGGCTTTTTTTTTAATGACTAAAAAGCACTGTTTTGTTGTTTTCAATTACAAGAGAGTCCTACGGTCAGTTCTCTTGATAAACAAAGCGTATCGTAGATACTGTCCCAGGCCCTAATCCAATTTTGTTTAACTTTTCTATGATTTCTGAAATTTGTGAAGCAATTCATTGAAAGCGACATATGAGCACACTCATGGATCCACTTTGACTTAAACTTTGGTGAGACGAAAGAAATTGGAAATACTTTGACTTTAACAAGTAAACAAACGGACTTAGACAAACAGATTTAGGTTACACTGATCAAAGTTGTATTACTTATGCCTTACTACGGGTTGTGTGAATATGACTCCGCCGGTTTTTTCATACAATTGAACAGCAACAATAGCTACTATTTCTTTCAACTCTTATGCAGGATATGAATTAAATACGAAAGAAACGATTGTCGTATTGGCACTATCCACATAAGCATCGATATTCGAACAAACAACAAGTCGACTATTAAAAGACTTGGTAATCGAAAAAGAGTTATGTCTGCTGAGAATAGCGGAGAGAGGATAGGACAGTTCAGGTTAGACATGCAGATATTTCCTGCCGAAATGGAAGCTCACCGTATCATGACTTTGAACATATTACTCCACTTTTTTGATCCAAGTGCGTCAGCTGTTTTGGTAGCTTTCTCTGCTGATGGTTTCATACTATAGCTGTGGCCAAAGGCAAATCTATAACGCTTAAGATTTGAATACTGATTTGGTAGTCGAGATTTTTACCTAATCCTTACCTAATCATACAGATATGGTTGATTCACACATCCGCGTATACATACGTATTGTAAAGAATTCATTATATGAAGAGAATTTTCCCTTGCTAAAATCGATGAAAGATATTATTTTATTGGAAGGTCAAAGGTTCAAATCTCAAACGCGATCGACGTTTCAGTAAAGGCGATAGCTTTGGATGCTACTGCTTCAAATGTGAAAACTTTGAATGAGATCGTGCCTACGTTGCGAGCCTACACAGGTAAGGATCTCTAAGCAGAGTAAGCCTTGATAATTTTTGCAATTTATTAAAAAATACCAATTTCCTTGACAAAAAAAAAGTCGACCTGAACCAAATCGAGTCGGATTTTGTACTGCTTCATATATTATGGGATTTTATTCCCCGCTAAGAAGAGAAAAGTTACGATAAGATCGGTCTTCAAGAAAGAGAAGAAAACTTTTTGTGTCAACGTCTGCTGTCAGCTAATAAATAATTAATGGGAACTATGCAACAGGTCTGATAATGAAAAGACCAAAATATCGACCGTAATGAAATGAGAGGAAAAACGTAATATATCACTTAACCGTTATTCATTCGACTTTGCCGAATGGTTAATGATTGCATTCCTGAATTACTTATGACAACTTTCTCACGGACTATTGAGCAGACAATGGCTTTATTAGTTTAAAAAAATAATTTCTGAGTTTTTTGTTGAATTTATATATAAAAATTATTAATTGGCACAATTATGTACATACATATTTCACTAATAATTTTGTAAATATTTATTGAAGAATAGCTGAATACCACACTAACGAGTTACAAAATAAAAAAATTCTATTCAAATAAAGTTATTTAACATTTCAAACATTTGCAAACTTTTTTAAATACCATTTTCTTTATTCAATTTCTTATAACAGCATGCAGGTGATTCATTTTAATGTTTATTCTAAGATTTATTTAAAATATTTCTTAACCTTTCAACAACGTCATATGCTAAAGGCTTTTCTTAATAAGTTTCAACGTTCGCAAGCAATCCTATTAACACTAGAACTATCGAGATTGATTGAATCCATGTTAAATTTCGATCTTTAAACAAATGTTCCAAAATTTGTTGTATCATCATTTATTTATGTGAAAGCCCGTTAAAATACCTTTAACCACTTTTTTACTTCGTCGTCTAGTTTTCGGGGTGCCGATGTCATATACCTATTTCTACCAAATGGAATCTTTTTAATGCCCTATATCCCTCGGTTTGCCGCAGACGTAAATTAAGAATGAAAGCTTTGCAAATTGGTCGTGATCTGTTCATATGCACGTCCACAATAAGGAATCAACTGAAATACCCTCGGAAAAAGGCCGACATCTTTTTCATATCTTTGCCTATAGCTTTCGATACCGTAAAGAAATCTTTGAGGACTTGCAACCCAAATGTTCATCAAGATCGCTTCCATGTTCACTTTAAAAATATATCCAATCGGCATATTTAATGCCATCATAATTTGTGCTAAAATTTATTTCCCCTTCATTCTAACACATATTAATAGTTTTTTCACCCACAAAAATAAATAAATTTGGGACCATTTTCGAATCAAACCTATAGATGGATTTGGCGAGCATTTACTTAGCAAGTTCTCCGAAATGTCTTCACAGGATAAACACTTACAGACGGGGATATGAAAAAATTATAGTCTTTTTCCAAGATGACTTTAGTTCCTCATTTATGGCGGACGTGTATCTAGACAGATGGTAACCGTCTTTTTAGCATTGAATTCTTAATCGATCAGTTGTGTTTGTGCCAAATTTCAGCCTCTTTCCGAATGTGACATTCTGACAAAAAGAGACGATCAAAATGATCACTTTTGGTAGAAAAAAGTATAAACAAAACATCGGTAGTTCTATTGTTAAGAAGAAGAAGAAGAAAGGAAAAGAATTAAATACTTGTTCTCTCCACAATTCCTAAAACGTGAACATTTTTAGTATGCTGATCTATGCGTGAAAAAACATGTAATAAGCTGTAGTTACATATCTATCTCTACCTCAGCCCGTCCACGCTTTCCACCTGTTCAATCGGTTCAAGTGCAATAACTACAACATTTTAAGGAGATCGCATTTGTTAAGCCTTGGGCAGTCTCGGGTGAAATCAATGTCTAAAGCTACTTAAAACTATCACTATTTAAAACTTTACTCGTGCCTTTCTAGAAAGTGTGCTCTAGAGCCGTCCATTTTTAACTAAAATTGAATTCAAAACCCGTCTGTAGTTTTACAATAACATTCTCCAATGAATCAGATAGGTTTTTATAATTGATTAACTTATTATTATATTATTATTGATTATTGTATTATAGCTGTCCTTTTTAAAAATTGAAAAAGTTTTAACTAAGTGGTGGACATTGTCAAAAAATTCCAATTAACTTACTAGATGCTAAGTAATATTTCAAGAAATTTTTATTTTTTAGTCTGGCGGGACAGCTAAAGCACTTCCACTTTATTTCAATAGCATTTTTTTTTTGTACATCAACAAATATGAGTAAAATTGCAATGGTCGATGCTCCGTAACTATATTCGGAAGTATTGCTCATTATATCGCGGTCACAAGGTCGTTTTACTTGATCGATCGTTACAATTGGTACTCTTGTCTTTTACCTAAACTTAAGAAATGAATGTTTTGCACATGTTGGCTCATTCTGTGCAATTGTTTGTTGAAACAATAATTATAAACACCAACCTACGTCCGGAATACCTCCCTCCCATCCTATGTACAAAACTAGAGGAGATATTCTTTTTATATTATGTGACGAATTGCGAAAGGTGTTTCTTCAAAAACAACGAAAACTAGCAAGTAATAAATGTTAGGTTAATTCAAAAGCAATTATACTCCTATACCACCCGTTTGGTACAAAGTATATCAAATTTTCGGCAGATGTATGTAACATCCAAGGAAATGTATTAAGTTTGGGTTACTTCATTGCCTGTAACTGGGCAACAGAGTCATCTATTTTGTTGTTCCGAAAATGAAAGTAACTAAAACACGCTTTTGATTGAGATGTCGATCAAATTGCTTGGACCTCACCATTATTTGTGGAATACAATACATAAGTACATATACATAAGTATTTATGGGATACAATACATAAGCATAAAGACTCTGTTAAAACTTATTATGGAAACTACGAACCCACGGTTACGTTTCCGGCTTATGGGATGAAGCTCATAATTGATTAAATGACTTCGTCAAAGAAAATACGTCTTATGTTCCTAAAAGACGTTTACATGGTTTACGGATTGAAAACGTAATTTTTCAACAGGAAAATGAAAGAAGTTCAGCGACCATATAATCTTTAAATTTGCTTACATGAGCTTTCCGCAAAGACCATGCAAGCATTAGCTTACTCCAATAAGCCACGAGCCCCCGATGACCTTCTTTACTGAGATAATTCGTATTGTTGGTGAAATCAGAGTAGATTTATGGGGGAAAGTGACGTAAATCAGTGTCCCATGATTGCATTTGTATGCCATCCTTGGGCCAAAATACGTCAGTTCACCGAATTTCCTGCAGCCATTCTATGTGTTGAACACAAGACGGACACAGAGACAAGCGGATAAACAAACTTGTCAGTATAATGAATGGTAGGTCTGCCCCGAGTCCTTTTATGTGTTTCATACATCCGCACAAACCTGATATATTATTGTGTCCCAAGCGGTATAGAGCATAAATAAATTTAAGTTGATATCTTTTGCCGTTTAATTTTTATTATAAATTAGAAAGAAAAAAACCAATACTTATTCGATGACCCAATACTTATTCGATAAGCAAAATTTTTTCAGTAGCCGTCTACAGAAAGTCACGACGTCAGAAATATAAATTGATTCCATATAACCAAGCCTTTGTTTTGATATTGTACAACTTTCATGTAGAAGTAAGTTATTAGTAACAATACAAAACTATTTCATTAATTGGTATTAGAGTTCCAATAGTAATTGATTAAATACAAATTTCACATAAAACACAAATTCAATCAATAAACAACATACACAACGAATTCCAATCAGAAAACTACGAACCTTCTAGCAAAAGCAATTTAAGACATACTTTTAAAAATACTTTATGAAAAATTAACTAACAAATTCAAGAAAGTAAAAAAAATTAACGGAAACCAGATAAAAAATAATTCAAAGGAAAATGAAATAATGCAAAAGCCATTTAAAAATTATAGCGAGAATATATATTGAAAGAAAGAAATTTATAAAATAAATCGATAAGAACTCATAACACCACATCTTTACAAGGTAGAATTATTTATATGAGATATAATCAATATATATATAAAATTGCATATGTTTAATTGGTAAAAAAACAAATAATACCTTTTTGGCTTGCAGAGCATTCTGTTGAATTGTTTGCATATATATTTTTTTTTATTTTGGTTATTTTTTCAAACATTTTTGGGGTTTTAAGAATTTATTAATTTATTGTTGGTATTTAGTGTCACAGCAAGAAAACAATAGTTGTTGTTGTTGTTGTTGTTGATGTTGTTATTGTACGAGTTGAGTTTATTAAAATTATTTTTCATTTTTTTTTTCAAATATGATTGATGAACATATGTTTAGAAAAACAAAAAAAAAAAACAAACACAAAAAAGAAAAGAAAAGGGAATAAAAACACAGGAAGGCAACAAGTGAAAATTTATGGAAAATCAAAAAACGAAATGCAGACACACATTGAGTGAAATGTTTTGAGAATAAATGTTCATATAAATTAAAGAGAGCGATGAAGAAATATATTAATATATAAAAGAGAAGAATTAGAAGAAGGAAATATAAAAAATTAATTAAATAAAATAAAAGAAATCATTTGATTTTATTATTATGAATATTTTACATAAAATTTTTGCTATTTTTTCTTGTTAGCTTAATTTGTAAAAAATAAAAGACAAAAACAAATATTGAAAGTAAGGAAAACTGAACAATTATAAATAGAACAAAATTCATGTAGAAAATAAATCTAGTAGAAGACTCAGACACAGGAGAAAATCTCTTTCCATGAAACCAAAAAGAAACCATGCAAAAATTTATTCATAAGCAAAACATTTATATATAAGAATAAAATGTGATCATCATATCGAAAATTCTTTAAATTAAAGAAGAAAATAAACAATTTTGATATACACATACATCATTATTTACATTCATTCATAAAATAGAAAAAAAAAGAGAATTCTTTGCTAAGTATTAAGCCAAGAACCATAACAGCATAGGAATCTATTTCTCGCCTAAGCATAGTCAAGGAAAAGAAGATGAAACACATTTTGTTGCGAAATATTTCAAACTGCCTTAGCATTTAGGTCAATAATTCTGACGAGAACTTTACCCTTTACAATTAAAATGGAGTCAGACAATAGTTAAGACTGAGAAATTAAGCTTTTTCTTGAGAGCAAAGTATGGCAATAAAGTAGGAGGTTGCGATTGTGAGTGTGACTAACTGACTTTGGAACTTTGGAGTTTTTTTGAAAAGAAAAAAATTTCTAGAGTTGAATTGTTCTTTGCCTTTTTATCAAAGTCGCACAAGCTTGCTTTTTTTTTCTTACATCCTACATCACTTGTGGTACAGGAATATATTAGGTTTGTGCGGATGTGTACAATCCCCAGACCCAGCTTTAATACACGGATCGATTCAGAATCACTCTCTCTTCGCCTATCCGTTTGATGTCTGTGCCGTGTATTTTTGCGCTTCACCTTACAAGGCCGTAATTTTTTAGATATTTTGATGACGCGTCTTGGGCAGTGTAAGCTATTAAATGATATTTTTAAATATTTCTGTTCTATGTACATTATGTAGGATCATGGAAGATGATTGGAATGTGAAAACAAGGTTTAAAAATTTGTCACAATGCACTGATTACTTACTCTTCCGTAAATAATTTCAAGAAAGTGAATCAAAATTTCATGCTTACGAGATGACAACTCTTCGACAGAAATACAAAAGAAATATGCGGTTTATTAACGTATGTCTTCTGTCCCAATTTCCAATTATTTTCAACTTATATCGTCTGGATATTCTTAATGAAATTTGCTATCATTCAAATATTTCGGCTTATCTCGGGGACTTTTTTCTTAGAAAAAACGACATTAAATGATAACCGGCTTCTGGAAATTTTGCAGATTTTTATAAACTAATTCTTGTTCACTTTCACTGTTGTAAATTCAAACCCTCTTGAGCGGCAACCCGTAAAATTTTTGGTAGTTAGAAAAGTATATCTTAAAAGTGGTAAATATTCGAGGCTTAGGTTTTAAAAAACTAATAAGATTAACTTTCGTTTAAAAAGTAAACATTAGAAAAGTTTTTTCAAAATTCAAACTTAAGAAAAAAATGGTGCTCTGTTTGAATAACATTGTAAAGCATAATTTTCTCTTTTATCAAAAAAAAAGTAAAATTTCCATAAAAGACATTGAAAATTACAAAATTAAAACAAGTAGAAGAAGAACTAATATGAAAAAAAAAAATCGATTTGCACTAAAACCAGTCTGCATACCTGCAATTCATCCCAGGGTATCGCACCACACTCATCGCATGATATGGCAGCCACTTGAACACGCAAGGTGGAATTGTTACCTTCGTTTTGTTGGATCAGTTCGACGGTAGTTAATCTACAATTTTGAAAAAGATGTTTAAAAAGTTGTGAAATTTTTACATCAAAGTTTGACAATAACCTAAATGTGGCCATCGAAACGAGATCACGTCTACGCCATGTACTGGCTTCTGACGGTTCTGAAGGCGAACTTAAATTAGTTTTACAGGCAGGCTCCTCATAAACTTCACTGGCGACTTCTACTGGTGAAACTTTTATATTGCTTTCATTATTAAAAGGGTTTAGTCTGCCAACAAAGAGAGGCGAGAGTACATTAATTACTTCTACTAAAAAAAACATTAAGTACCTAAACATAACATCTATACAATCCATAGTTTTATCATCGCCCATAACAATAGCAAAGTTTTCCGAATCCGAACTGATATCGCTTTGTATAGAAAACGTGTCACTAACATCATCGTTTATCGTAGTTCTGGAGGTAATGGCTGAATCAATGGAAGTCATAAAACTAGAGAAACCTTTTTTCATAGACATAAGTCCTAAAATTTGAAACAAACTTCTTTAAAAAAAAAACTCTTTCTCTACACACAGAGTTTAATTTATACCTGAATTAATTTCTTTAGTTAAACTAGTAGCATCGCTCGTTGAATTGCGTGTCGATCTATAACTTTTTGTCGACGATGAGGTGGTTGATTGAGTATGAACTCCAGTGTCCGCTCTGGTAGACGTTTGATTCATATAGGAAGAAGACACAACAGTAGTATTTTGTATGTGTACATTGTGGCTTTAAAATATTCAAAATTAAAGTTAATTTTTTTAAGGTTTAAAACAAATGTGCCGAACCACTCACCCGTGGGTATTTGGATTTGAAATATGTATGACACTATCATAGGGCGGCGCTTCATTGGTAATGGGAGACGGTGTTTCTACGCTGCCAAATATACTATTCTTAACAGGATCCAACGACGGTGGCGTCGGCCACACAATGTTTGCACCTAAATTAAAGTTATTGTTCGACATATTTTAATGTTTTCATTCATTTGATAAATATTTAATTTGCAAGTCTTCATTCTACTATCCGCCGCGCCGAAAATGCACAAATACTAGATATTTAATATGCAAACAAGAGTTATGCTCAAAATTTATTCACCAGGATAATTACTACTCCTTTGCTCTTGGAATATAGTACTACCACGTAGTCCACAACTTGATATATATTCATAGGTTTAAGAAAAATGTTTTATGACATAGGATGTATGGAGTTTGTACAGATGCATGCAACCAGCAGTAGGGCTTGAGATAGAACTATCTTTCATTTGGAATCAATTTCGGAATTGAATAAATCTTTCTGTGCATTTGAGCGTCTAACGCCTGTCCATGTCGCAATCTTTGAGATGGTTTCATGAAATATGGCACACTATGTTGTTTTGAGAAACCTGATTGTAAATGGAGTGGATTAGCCTAATCTTACGGCCATTTGCCATGTGGAAAAAATTGAAATTTTCATTTTTTCTCGACAAAGATGTTGATAAATGTTGATACTTCGGCATTTTAAATTGACGTGGAGAGTTTGCATGAGATAAGGCAGTGTTTTGATCTCCTCTTTCGCCGCGTCAAGATTTTCGAATCTTGACGCGGCAAAAACATGTATCTTTTTTACATTTCTTGATGAAAAGTTTCATATTACAGTAATTTAGGATAAAAATTCAGCATACCAAAGGTTGGGCTAAGTAAGTCAATCTTTTGGACGTTAGTGTATCAAATTTCATCCAAATATCTCAAAAATAGCCATTTGTAGCTTCAACACAAATGTACACGAGCGGACGAAAAGAAAATGATTTTGAATCCATTGATGTAATAAGAAATGAGTCTGTCCTAAGCCCTTTTGCGTGTTACATACATCTACAGAAACGTAACGTACCCTTATACCGCTAGCGGTGTAGGATATAACAACTAGGTTTTCTAAATTTGGGTCACAGCGGATTACGGTTTGGGTGCTTTCCAAAAGCCCTTGCGTCTTTCATGAGCAACGTCTCATTACATGAAAACAACGTATTTGCTATATTGTCAATAAAATAAGTAAATAATTGCATCAGACTAAGTAGTGTAGGGTATTTAATCGTCGGCCTTGTTTGCTTATATTGTTTTTATTTATTTTTGTATAGAATGCGTTCAGATTCGAGTATACATCGCTTAACAGCTAAGCCGCTATTTACGTACTGAAGCGTGACCCCGTGAAGTCCAATTAATCGTAACCTTTAAAAAGTGAGGTTTTGTTTTTCTCACGTCATGAAGAAACAAAGAAATTTGTTGAATCTTTCTTTACAGAGCTCAATCAGTTTTTCTCTCTATTTCATGTAGCAAAATTCAACTTTTCTCTCAGGTCTTCCCTTACAGCAAAATGTATAATCATGCAAAAAGTTATTATTAATTTTCCACAACATCAAGATTTAGTAAATGAAAATGAGATTAAATTAGCTTTTATAAAGAAGTGTAAAAAAATTTGTTTGTGAGATAAAAAAATACGGTTGAATTTAATAATAAAAATGTGAAAAATAGAAAAGAAAGAAAAAGAAAACTTAAAAATAAATCTTACTATTTATATGTAAATCATCACCCAAACTAGCTGAATCGGGTAAGACACTTTCGGCGTCACCACCACTTGATTCCTTACCGGGTGTAGGGGACGGCATTACAAAAGTAATTTCAACTTGCGGTATCACGCAACCAAATATTAGAGATTTTTTATTATTATGCTGAATTTAGAAGTGAAACCATATTAAAATAGACCCAAGTGTTTGGGAAAAGAAAAAACCGACCTTGTGCAAAATTCGTTCAGCATCTATGGATAGAAATGTGGTCATCTCGTTTAGTTCTTCGGCCAATCGCAAAAGGAACAAGTACTGATAGTGATCAATTTGCAAGCTTATCAGATTTGAAATGTGGGCTATTGCGTGCAAATCAGCGGTTCGTTCGTTGTGTTCAGAAGATGTTTGCGATTTACGTTCGAAGTAGATGTCCTCTTCGCTATCTAGGAAAGGATTGCGTGGCAATTTGTTTTTGTTATTCGCCTCGACGGAGGGACCTTTCGCTGTGAACAATAGCGTATCAGAGCCGCCGTCATCGCCGCCGTCTTTGTGACAAACACTACCACCAACGCTTTGCGATGACTCGGAACCAGTAGTGCCGGTGCCAGAGTGTAACCATAATGTTATAGGTACTGCATCAATGAAAGGTATGGCTTTATTGGCGCTCAGTGAGCGGGCACCGAGAAAATCAATCCATACCGGATCGAGTTTAATACACCAGACATCACGCGGCTCTGACCACATGGCATAGCGTGTGAGGCACTGGGTCGAGGCGGATTTTGGTATTGAATTCCGAACTGAAGCGTCCGTCAATCCTACTCCTTCCGTCCCATCCGGCATTAATCCATTCGTGGCGGCAACGTCAGTAGCTGCCACATGCGATAATATACGATCGGTTACTATACACATATCATTTTTAGCCGAAGGAAAACCGTTGCCGAACACTAATGAACCCTCTTGCAAAGAATGCAAAGCTTGTGCAAGATCGGCACGTGACGAACCCGTTTCACGGATATTTGTAAGTGCAAAACGTGATATCTGTATTTGCATCATTCTCGGGCGATCCTTTTGATGTGGCATATCGACCGTTGACTCGATAACAATTCGTGGCATTATAGCTTCAACTTTAACGTCCATGTACATATAGTTTGGCTCGCTTGGAACCTCAGCCGGATACAATGCTATCTTAGACGAGCCCTTTAAGGTAGTACTTTGTGAACCTATCGTCGACAAAGGCGATGCACGACTGGTTGGATTAGAAACGGGTGAACCGACATGAGCTGTTCGCATCAGACTTTCATGCAGATTTAAACCAAACGAGTTCAGCCATAAAATTGAACTCAAATCAAAATGTATTTGCAACGGGTTAATGTGTACAAATATTTTCGAGGGCGGTACTAGATGAAAGAAGGAAAGAACAGAGACGCATTAAGAATTAAAATATAGACTAAGAAATATAGAAAAGAAACTTACGTGGAAATATAAAATCACCGGGATAGTAGAAGTATGTAAATTCAGCATGTAAAATAGGCATGTCTGCAGGAAAAGAATAACGATCCTTATCTCCTATAAAAGGAAAGTAGAAAACGTGGTTAATTTTACTCGTGAAACATGCAAGAGAAGTACAAAGGCAGAATCCAACTGTAGAATTGTATAATAATAATAATTGAAGCCACTACTACTGAACATTAGACGATGGCCACTATACATAACACAAAACCGCACACGCGAATGCAAGTCGTAAATTATCATTAACAATTTTTATATAATCATGACTACGTATTACTATAAATCACCTGTTTTAATTTTCCTTTTATGTTGGGCTACAATTATTTATAAATGTGAATGGTTTGCGTAAGAATACAAAATCGTCAAATGACGCAAAAAGGAGGTAACGAAAATATAAATGAACAAAAGTTTAGTTAAAGTTTAGTTTTCAAATTGAAATTAACGACATTCACACAATGACTTCATTTTGAGTGTCTGATGTTGGAAAAATGAAAGGTAGCCTTGCGGTTAAATTGCTTTACCTGATATAAACTCCTTAGGCATTTGTTTTCGGCCAGCGGTTGTAACGCGAAACAATTGAAAATCTTCAACGCGTAGAATAACACACGAACTCATAAGTTTCGCTAAATTATCTAAAATTGATTTCTGTTGATTGCTCTGCATACCATAGCCATTAGCCGATGAATGAGCAGAGCCAGCGCTACCGGGTGTTTGAGTGGGCGTATTACTGCCAGTCGATGAGCCATGGCTTTGCCTGTGTATTGTCGGCGTTCCCGCTGTACTAAACTGGGTATTTAACATGGCGGCATTTAAAGTGAGCGGAGAATTCGGTGTGGAGCGTTCCAATGGAGCATGAGATGAAGGACGATTTGGTTGGCATAAATTTAGTACCGCTTCCCGGAAAGTATTTAAGGATTCTTTTAGCCACAAAGCAGGTGAGACGGAAGCTTCTCGGTATCTATAAATGAAGTTGAAAACAAATTCCTCTTGTATCGAATATTTGATAATCATAAGTTTGATGTATACGTATTTGTAACTCATTTCGTTGCCTATTGTTTATCCTAATGTAGGTATTTTTAAAGGAAATCGAATTTTCTGAAAACAAAAATGCTTAAAGTAAAATCGACTTTCTTGTTTTCTTCTTATTATTATTGCCACCGAAGAAAAAGTATACAATAGGTTTTGTAACTTCATCTGCAGACACATATGCCTAGGTGTTTCCTCATCTGTTCGTGGAACACTCTCTTGAGATTATCTTAGTCGAAGTTTTTTTTCACTTTATCTGCAGAAATACTTGCAGACCACATGGGTCTGCGAATGGTTTACCCATGTCTGTCGGTGTTTTCTTATCTATTTTTGAAATATTCTCTGGGAAGTGCCTTGGCAGAAAAAAGTGGGAAGGAAAACTGATGTATATTCTCAACTTAATATGTTTGGAAGTGGATTTCATCGTCACCCTAATGGAAGTAGTAAGCTCATCTCGATAAGCGAGAAAAAAAAACAAAGATACATTTTAAAACACTCATCATAAATGCTTTTATAGGAACAGCCGACATCGGTCTAAAATTTGTTCAAACTATTTGTGAAATCCTTATTAAGTATGGTATTAAAAACGGTTCGAATCAAGCAAGCGATGTTCCTATAAATCTCATAATTAATTAGTAAAATATAAATAATATAAATTAACTCTCATTAGGCGGCGGCATATTTCAAAACAATTTTCAAGTGGTCTTAAGTACATACTTAGCCCAATGAGATCTATCCGATTTCGCCAAATGATACGGATAATAATCCACTTGGAATGCTTGTACCGAAATTTGCAATGCTCCTCCCTTAATCAATTCCGGGTAACTAGAGCGACCATCTGACCACATAAGAAGTGCTTTAAAATTAAATTTTGATTTCGACTTGAATTAGCTGCTTACCACCCTCATCGTCACACAAATGTAAATCGATACGTTGACTAAAGAAGTGATAGGAGGTCTCTCGTACGTCAAAAGCATTAAACATTCTTTGCGTGTTGCTGGTCATATGTGTACCATCGCTTTGGCGTGACTGCTGCTGAGCCAACTGAGCTTGGTACTCTGGCAGAGTCTAAAAAAAGCAAATAAAAACCATTCTATGGTCGCAATTCAATTTTTATACGCACTTCCAATTTCCTTGCAGCGCTTGACTTTTGAGTGGCGTGAGTGGCAGCTTTTATAAGCCCCGACAGGGAATCTACAAAATGCAAGGCTGCTTTCAGTTGGGAATCCGTTAACACCCATAGCAAATCATCCAATATTAAAACAAGCCGGGAAGCCAATAATGTACAATCAGATAAACGTTTTCGTATAGTTATGCGGCAGCGCGCTTGATTTGTCAATAAACGCAGCGGTGTCAGAGATTTGTCTTGCGTGGAACTTGCCTCAATGCGTACCGTTTGCCAAGACAATTCTTTGAAAATTAATATAATCCCTTTATATGGATCTTTAAGACGCGTTACACGTAAATCACCATTTGCCCACTTAGGCGTTTTCGATTCTACTCGGATACGAGACATCTGCAAAGTATTGAAGTAAACAACAATGCAAAAAGAAAGAAAAAGTTTTTGAAATTAATACAATCGTTTAATTCTCCACACACACACACACACAGTCACACGTACTCACCTGGACAGAGGCTGTAAAGGCAGCACTGAGAAACTTTACATTCACTGTATTCACAGTTATTGTAATGCCATCAATAACTTTGTGTATAAAACTGTATTTGCCTTGAGGTACTTGTGGCAAATTTCCACCACCGCTACCAGTACTGCCACCACCATTAGGCGATTTAGCATCCTGTAACCTACTAATGGGATCACAGGTTTCTACTGTAATATTAACCTCGTCAAGCGTCTATTTGATGGTAAACAAAAGAATAAAGAAAAGCAACAGTTGCAAGGATCAAATGAACATAACTCAATTTGTTATGATGGTCATCATGATTAAAGCGCTTACCAAGTAAATTGGTACACTTTTCAACTTAGTCCAACTAATACGAAACGATACGTGATTACACCAGGCCGATGTCAAACGCAACCATGATGGCAATTCTAATAATTCCGTAAGAACGGCCTCATCCAATTGTAAATTGGACAGTTCACCTTCTCCCCTAAATGTACTAAGATTGATTTTATCGGAAGATAAATTTTTTGTATATCTAAAAATAGAAGAAAAAAAATTTACTATACATCATTATATATATGTGTGTATATATATTATATCTACTATCATCTATACCACCACGAATATGTGCAGTCATATGTAGACGTGACATTTGATTTCCCTCTCTACAACAGCCATTGACTCTTAATTGACCATAAACATGCAGCGGAGGAGAATAATTTAATTAAAACAGTTTCATTTGTTTCTGTATGCAGTCTTCAAAGGCATTTTATTAAATTTGCTATAAATTATATCATAATGAGAATGTAAACAGCAGCGCATAAGCATTTATCTTTTTATGTGGTTAAGACACAGGCAAAAACTTAACATTCGCATTGAGGCAAACCTTATTGTGTCTATGCACCTTTCCTAACAAGGGAAATGTCTCCATAAAGAAACTAGTAAGTATCTGGAAGTATTACGTGGGCTTTTCGCTCTTTTCCTCTACACGAATATGATGAGAAGAACAACATGCCAATAATGGCTTTGCTGAACCGTTATTTCTTCGTAGATATTGAAAATCTATGAAGAAAAAGTAAGTAATTCGAATGCATGAACGATTTGAATCTGTGCCAAGCATAGCCCAGTACTTTGTAGTTTAAACTATTTGGAATCTCGGGAGGTAGGTGGCGAACGACACATAAAAGCTACCACACTTACTCCGTGAAGAGTTGCTGAATCGCTAAATAGTAATGTGTTCGATGACTTTCGAGCACGGAAAAAAGAAAGAAGTAAGGTCGCTGCCCATTCTCTCCTACCGGCACTTCAGTGTGGCCCAAATGCCTACGCATTTCAGGCAAATATATGAAGTTAACATTGTGTAGTCACGGTAAGCAAGGTTTATTTATTTACGTACCGCGAGTGGGGGGTGGACGAAGAGCAGGTAGATTATGATCTTTTTGAAATTATTTCAGCTCTCTGAAATTTCAAAGGCCAAGTTTATTTAACCTATTGTTAAACTTTACTTAACCAGGACAAAAGCGATTTTGGTTTGCTACGCAAAGCTTATCGAGCGCGTCATGTAACATTTCACACTCCTAAGGCAGTTTTCATGGTTCACATTCTATCCTCTACATTGTATTGATGATGATAAACATCCCAAAGTTACAAAATGGGTTAACCGCATAGTGAACTTTTCCATTACAGAGCAAAGCAGTGAGGCTGGCAATCGAACTTAGTTGAGTGCACGAAAGAGAAGAGCCGTTGACGAAACTAATAGCACCAGTGTTACAAGAAAACTAAAAGAAGATCTGTTACCACATGGAAACAAGCATTGAGTCCTTCAGTGAAGATGACTAAGAGGTGACTATTATTGCAGATTGCCATCTTAATCGCCTTTGCGAACATAAAAGCCCTCTCACTATGGACTCGAGAAACTTTAAATGAATGTACTAGACTGGATTAAGGTGCTATGGGTAAATACCGCATCCACTTTTTTGTTCACACTTACCTCTATCTAAAAAATAATATAAAAGATATTTTTTTCACATAAGTTTTTTATTTAATAAGATAAAAGGGTGAAAATACTTTTTTCCCAGCGTCACCTTTCGGTGACTGTACGTGAAAGCTTAGGGCGCGTACGACCTTGACGTGCAAAAAGCAACTCGATTTTTTCTAAACGCCCTTTCAAAAATACAGAAAAGCTGACTGGTTTTGGAGTTCCCATGGTAATACAAAAACAAATTACATAAACGCTTATAAAATGTTATTATCTCAATGGGTATGATTGAGTTCAACTGAAGTGCTGAATAGATGGCGTCAAACTAATGAAAGGGGAAATGCAAAATTACTTTGCAACTAATATTAACGTATTTATCTTCATTTGACTATACTTTATTTTTGATCGGCTTTATCTAGCATTATGGAACAGCATGCAGCACATCTTGGTGGACTTCGGAATTGACAACACAGACATTTTATTCCCCTCAAGAATATATTTTGGATATCTCAAGTCTTTGTAACGACTGCAAATGTCTCTCGAAGATTACTAGAATACTATCTGAACGCTAATTCCAAAACTTTGTATAGAGCGCTTTAAAAGTGTCTGCACACTTATGAAACAAAAACGTAACATATGAAGTAAAGTGAAGTATTGAAAACGTTATTTGCAGTTCATAGAATAAATTATTAAGCGAGACATAGAAAATTATATCGAATTATCGCTTCATATCCTACTCAATTTCCACTTATATGTTACATGCACATCCAACATGCCTTTTTTCCTAACATTCTCAAATTAGCTTTCCTTGCTTCCTTCTGACTAACAAGAGTGCTTGTACATTGCTGGACATTTACGGTTTTCAGTTAACATGGAAATTAATGATATCCATTAAAAATTTATTAAAACACATGATCCAAATTGAGGAAATAAGGGCAAAATGGTTTTAACAGCCTTGACGTGAACATTCGACACTCACCGCAAGCTAAAGTGAACGCAATATTTGAAAACCACATGTGTTCTTTGTTGATTGTAAACTTATATTTTTGCCAAGTTAATATTTATGCGAGATTACTAACCAACATGATGATGATGTGACGCTATTTTTATTTGCTGTTTACCTGAGCTTATCTTCTTGAATAAATTACGCTCCATTTCCAAATTTCATTTGAGTAATTTCATCGAAAATATGTGATGTTTTAATAGTAATTCTGGTAATTTTAGGAGTTAAGAACACAAACACAGCCAAGACTGTTCAAAACTAAAGAATTATTTCGAATTTTTTTTGTATTCTATCGAAACACTTGCAGGGACGTCGCAAGTCGCATGATTGTCCAAAGCATATCTCAAATCGAATAAGCGACTTTTTATCGCATTTCGATATTCTGCGATCTGATCAAAAATGTAAATCTGATCCAAAAAAGATCGCGAATTTATGATAATCGCTTGAGCGGAACACACAAATGTTTCCTTCCTATAACACAGTGCAATTAGAGTTAAAAAGAGACGAAAAGATGAAGTGATTGCAACATTCTGATGCGAGTTTGCAGAATATCACCAAAAGTAGAGTTGCTTGGGAATGTTAGATAGAATTCAGAATTACATCATATTTAATAAACTTTGTATGCCCATCACCGAGCAATGAGGCGTATATTCAACGCTCACGTTTGCAACGCCCAGAAGGAAGCTTCAGAGACACCACAAAGTATATATATTCTTGATCGGCATCAAATTCTGAAACGATTTAAGCACGTCCGTCTGTTCGTCTTTGTTGTAAAGATTCTCCTGGCCGCTTCCAAAATGAAGCTCTCGACTTCAATTTTGGAAGTTCTTGCAAGTAGGTTGGTATTGAAAATGGACTAAAGCGAAGAAGCTGAGAACGCTTTTCTTACTCATAACCTGAAGCAGATAAATTTTTTTGGCGACGCTCTAGTATCTGTACAAGTATGGAAAAAATTGGCCGCGCCTACTCATTATTATAGTGTATCAAAATTTAATTTTCCGATATCCGTTTTATCACGAAATCTCAAAAATGATGAGACGAAAACGTGATCGCAAGGTCTTAAGACTAATGACCGGTCACTGGACCAGAGTGCGGCTGCTATTTTCAATAGGAACTGAGTATAAAGTTCAATTTAATCTCTCAATGAATAATTTGTGGCCTCTGATAGACATTTTAATAAAAAGCAAACGTAAAAATCAAAGGCTTAATAAACACTTTGATAATTTCCATACTAAACAAGCACACACAACGCAAAGAAACTACTTCCAAACGTTAGAGTCGGCGACATATGCTTTGCTTACTGCAGTTCAAAGTTCAAAAACGAGTAGAATTGATCGATTTTAGAGAAACTCCTTGTCTGAGAAGCAGTTCAAAATCTGAACCGACATAGTTTAAATTTACTACAGTTCACTTTTTTCTAACGCCTAACTTATCATTTTTCTTCACTTATCACATCACTCAATAAGCTTACAAGTTACAGTTGTTTTAGCGACGGTACTTTTGTATTTGTAACGCAGTAGAAAATCTTACCTGTATATACATAGGGTATCTAAAACGACTGCAAGTTAATGGGCGAAATGTTATGAAATTCTAATCCGCTTCATTTGCAGCCTGATGCCATCTAAAAATCGTATGGATTCGCCAAAAGTAATCCTATGACTTTATTGAGTATCTTATTATTGTAAAATACCGAAAATGTTTAATTGCCAATGTGTTCTATTGATTTTATATGTCAATACCCATTTCGATTGGTTGTCGTACACAGGGTAATTTTTGATAAAAAAAGATTATGTGGGAGGATTTTTACGAAATGCTTCTTTCTATCCCATCCAAATTTTCCATACACATCTGAGACAATGGGGCGTGTTTTTCATCAATTTTTATCGAAAAATATAAAAAATGATAAAATGTTTTTATATCAACTGGACCTTATATGCCCAAGGACCGTAAAAATAGTTCTTTTCGATTCATTTTCAATAGTAGTCGTCCATAAACCAAACCATATAAATAATATATAATAAAATATATGACATACAGTTTATGTGGACAGACATGCTTACATTAGATTTGCAAAATTATTCCGAATCGTTTGATATAACAAAAACTTGGCTTACCTCAACACGCTCTTGATGACACACACATCACCGCGAACTTAATGCGTGCAATCTTGCCACTAGCTATGTAGGGTATAAAAAAAAAAAACTACTTGAAAAAAGTATCTTGGTATACGGCATCATTTCTTGCTGTGCATTATTGATTTTTTTTTTGTTTTTGTCATTTTTTGCGAAGGGTAGTCGTCAACAAGTTGTTGCTTCACTTTTCATGAACTTTATATCTTGTTATGACACAATTTTCTTTTATGTATATCTATTTATTATATGTGTGTACGTAACGATGCTCAAGCAAATATTTGTATGTGGGTAAGAAATAAACTGTGTTTATTAAATTTGTGCTTTGAGGAGTGTTAGCCGAAGAATAAGTGAGAGATGAGAGTGCATTTCCTTTTTTCAAGGAAAAAGTTTATGTACCGGTTGTTTCTAAATTTAATAAGCAG